AACTCATCTTTTACATCATCTGAGCTGCAGTCAGTGGGACAGTAGGCAGAGACGACGAAGAGGCAACTACGAGTGTCCCTATCTTTCTGAGTCCTTACTGTTCCGTTTAGTAGGACAGTGCACAAACGACTGTCTACTGTGATCCAATCTAAGAGAGCTAGTTCTGCCCTAGGACTCAATGCTATACCTACGCCAGCAAGGCCACGGGAAGCAGCATCAGGGCTTCCAGATACACGAAGCGTGAATCGAGTTGGTTCGTTACTTTGACATGGTGAGGTCAAATGAATGACACTACTAGGATCCTGTGTGCGCGTTTCGGAGACGCAGCACACATCGATGGAGCGAGATTCTAAAGTCTTAGCTAAGGAAGTCTGTTGTCCTATTAGGCACAGTGTTCGGACGTTGAAAGCTCCTACGTGTAGTTTGGAGCGTGGTTTCAGGAGACCAGGAATAACATTCCGCGTACTCGAATCGTTCGCACTAGCGGGGCGAGGTGATAAGGAGACGTAAGAAGGGTTAGTCGTGGAGATAAGAGAGTTATCAGGAGGTGTAGGAAGGATTTGAATGTGACCAACTTGGTCTCGTGTGCTGTTACGGGTTTGAGGGCTGATGTCACTTCCCGGTTGCCCACACCGTGGAAGGGTATTTCTTGAGGAACCTGAAAAGGAAATCGGATTAGTGTTGGTCTTAGCGACCTGAGTGCGTGACCACAGAGCCCAAGGGACAACTGCTTGAGGCCGGTCGCGCACGGCCTTTTTGTGGGAGGTTTTTAATGTGTTGGCTCCGTTCTTCAAAGGGCCTTACCGCCGGAGACGGAAATCCGTGGGGTAAGGTGAGGTGTGACATTTTTAGGGTCAACCTTTTCTAAACCCTTCCTTCCTTGTGATAAGGCAGCATGGCTGCAGATTCTGGTTGTTCGAGGGAAACACCTTACTGCTGTCACACCTCTGTACAGTCAGCAGTTCGACTTCACCCTCAGACCTTGAGTTGCTGCTTTTCGTCTTACCGTTCTCCAATCGACCTGCCTGGCATGGTAGAACCTGCAGGAACATTTGTTCCAGCCAATATAGCTCTGTTGGGTCATCACGATAGGCAAGCCCGACCACCACGTCAAGGTAGCAGCTACGGTCGGGCCTTCCCCATAGATGACGTAATTTGGCAAAAGCCAAACTAGCTTTTCGAGTCGGTGCTGAGATTTCGTCAGACACCAACCCATTAGGGCTGATCAGACTTCCAAGATAAGTGAAGTTGTCAACGCGTTCGATTACTTCACTCCCTATCCTTAGTTCAGGTGTTGATGCAGGCCGGTCCTGGAGCAAAAACTTGCATTTGGAGGGAGAGAAGCGCATCCCAAACATTCTGGCATTGTTTCTCAGTGCTACCAAAAGACTGCATTTTGTCAGCGGCTTCACCAAACAGGACTATGTCATCTGCGTATTCTAAGTCAATAAGTGGACCTCCTGGTAGGAGATCGATGCCCGACAATTCAGTCGACGAGAACGTTATTTCCAGCAGTAGGTCTATGATGAAATTAAGCAGAAATGGAGATAGTGGACAGCCCTGCTGGACATCACTTGAGGTTGTAAAAGCAGATGACAGTTCGTCATAAGCTCTCATTTGACTAGAAGTGTTCGAGTAAAGAGCCTTCACAAGGTTTATGTACTTCTGAGGTACGCCTTTCAATAACAGACACTGCCACAGAACCTCTCGGTCTGCAGAGTCAAACGCTGCTTTTAAGTCAAGGAAGACCACTATTGTCGGACGCCGATAAGTATGCCTGTGTTCTAGAACCTGACGAATGGTGAATATGTGGTCGATGCAGCCACGACCAGGTTTGAAGCCAGCCCGATTTTCTCGTGTTTGCAGTCCACGAGTTTGTTAGTCGTCCGATAATTACAAAGGCTAGTATTTTAGATGATATGTTAGTCACACTAATCTCTCTGTTTATCACAGGATGTTTTTACCCCTTATATATTGGGACAATCAGTGATTGCGACCGGTCAGATGGGATTACGTTCAGTTTCCAGATTTTAGCTAAAATGTTAGCCTAATCGCTCAAACTGGACCACTATCCTTAAAGACCTCTGGACCAGCGGCTCTTCCTCGTTTCAGATTAGCTATAGCTTTTTAAACTTCAATTAAAATCGATGGGCCTACTTTAATCTTCCATTCAGGCTGTCTGGGAATGTCGGGTAGTTGTAGAGCGACTGAACAGCTTCTTAAAATGTTCCGCCCATTGTTCTAAACGTTTGGGCTGAGAGGAAATGAGAGTGTCGTCATTTTCCGAAATCGTTTCATTCACTTGAATTCTTAATTCCAGTTTCTTTTATTAGTCTGAAAAGCTGTCTTGTGTTACCTACAGCCGTTGCCTTATCCATCTGTTGCTTTCGTTGCTCACCACTGCTCACAGTGGTTCCTTTTGGTTAACCTAGATCTGATTTGTTTTGCTCTTCGTCGTGTTCAGAGCCTGATGGGATGAGTTTACGAGAATCTAACAGTGCAAGAGACTTAGTAGAAATCCATTGGTTTTTGGCAGCCCTTTGGTTCAAATCACTAGTAGATGTCGCTGCTGTTTCCACAGCTGCTCGTATATCTTTCCAAGCAACATCTGGGTCAGCCTCGTGTTCAGAACTGCTTAAGTGTGACCTCAGTTGTTCTCGTTACAAGTACTATGTCTGAGCGTTTAGTTTTTTGAAATTCAGAACGCCTTCTGTAAAAGTCATCTTTCACTTCATCTGGGCTGCAGTCAGTGGGAGCGTAGGCAGAAACGACGAAAAGGCGACGACGTGTGTCCTGATCCTTCCGAGTTCTTACGGAGCCGTTTAGCCGAACAGTATATAGGCGACTGTCAACGGGGTTCCATTCTAATATTGCTTGTTCTGCCCTCGTACTAAGTGCTATGACAACACCCGCCAGTCCACGAGAACTAGCCGTCGGGTCGCCAGATAAACGGAGAGTGTATCTCGTCGGCTTTCTCTTTTGCTGAGGTGAGGTCACGTGAATGACCACATTAGGATCCTGTATTCGTGTTTCGGAGACACAGCATACATCAATGGTATGAGATTCTAGAGTTCTAGCCAAGGAGGCCTGCGAACCGAGTTGACATAGGGTGCGTATGTTGGAGGCTCCAATGTGTACTTTGGAGCGAGGTTTCAGTAGACAGTTTCGCCCACTAGAATCGTTGGCCATGGTGATACTTGATAAGGAAGTCAAGAGAGCAAGTTCAGTGTTGAAAGTCGATACAGTAGGAATAATAAATATTGAAGAGGGAGATTGACTATGAATACAGTGATCTTGATTGCTGTTAGAGGTATGAGGGCGGTTATCATTTCCCAGTTGCCCACACCGTGGAAGGGTTCTTCTAGAGGTACCCGAAAAGGAAATTGGGTTAGGGGTGGTCTTGATGACCTGAGAGCGTGACCGCAGAGCCCAAGGAACAATTGTCTGAAGTCGACCACATACGACCTTTTTGTTAGTAGTTTTCGTGCTAGCCCCGTATTTGTTCGGACCTCACCCCTAGAGACGGAAATCCGTGGAATAAGGCGAGGTGTGCATTTTTAGGGTCGACCTTTCCTAACCCCACTCTTCCTTGTGGGAAGACAGCCTCGCTGTTATGCTAGATGTCTAAAGGAAAAACCTTACTGTTGTCACACCTCTGTACAGTCATCAGTACGACTTGGTTTTCAGACCTTGGGTTTACTGCTTTTCGTCTTATCACTCTTCAACCAATCTATTTGGCATGATAGGACCTTGAGGAACGATTGTTTCAACCAGTATAACCTGATTGGTTTATCTCAAGATAGGTAAGGTTGACTATCATGTCAAGATAGCAACAATGTTCAGAATCTATAATCTAAATAAATTGTTTTGTATATTTAACATATGTAACAGAATAAAAATAACACAATAGGTTATTTTGATTATATGCAGCAAACTTTTAATCAATAAAGAGATCTTTATTTCAAACTTCACATGATAATCAACTCTTCGTATTCATATGTGTTTTAAAGGAGAAAAAAGAAAAGAAAAAGAAAAGAAAGATGAATATTAACGTACATTGAACTCATATTGTATATTCATTTAACATAGAAATAATCATTTAAACAACACTCTTAAGACAAATTAAAACTTGTACAATTAATAAGGTGGCTACATTTAGAATTGAAATGTATATATGTATGTATGTATGTATGTATGTATGTATGTATGTATAGACGATGTGTAAAAGAAAAATAACATGAACATAGTGATTATTATTATTATTATCAGAGAAACAAGATAACAGATTATTTTGTATAGGAATAAATGTCACAATGATTCCCCACGAAAAAAAAAACAAAAAAAAAACGGGAGAAGAATTATGTATATGTGTGTATGTGTATGTATGTATGTATGTATATTTATATATGGAGTGATATTAAATAAAAGACAAATAGATAAACATGAATTCTATGTAAAGAATTGTTAAAATTTACTGTGATTTTCCTATGGACCCATAAAATTAGATTAAGGAAAAGATTAGTATGAATTGAAATTATTCTTATTCTTATTTTTTTTTTTTTTTTGTAAAGAAATACATTCAATGAAAAATGGTTATTATTTATTTAAGTATTTTATAAGTAATATATAAACAATTATTTCTGTATTGGTTATACATTGAAGTTACACTTTGAATGAATATCTTTCGAATCTTTCATAATAGAATAGATCCAGGAGAAATGAATAATTGATAAATATAAGAAATTCACAATTTGTAAGGTTTTATTGTATTGACTTTTTTTTTCTTCTTTTTTTTTCTTTTCTTTTTTCATTTGTTACATCATATCATTCTAAATGTTTGTTTGTTTGTTTTAATATTATTCTATGACTAGAATATAATCCTGTTAGAAAGATAGGTAGATAGGTACACTAGAGGAAAAATAGTGAAATAAATTGTTGAGTATTGTTTGAATTTTTTTGTTGTTTGTTTGTTTTGTTTTTTTTTGCAATTCTATATATTTTTAACCTTTTTCAGGCATTGGTTGTAAAGTGTGCCATTGTGCAATAGGTCGACGAGGATTAGCTAACATATCTGACCAGTGACGTAAACCTGCTCCTGTTTCATTACAACCTAAAACAACTCGGCCAATTGCTTCTGATGTACCAATTCGATCATAATCTACCACAATCACAATTAATGTTACTTTCTGAAAATAAATAATTAAGATGAAACATTAGTGATGAAGTGATTGTCTGCAGGAAAATATGTCTTTGATTTACTCATTTCAGTACAGTTCTTATGCATAGAAGGATGTTACATCTGAAAATGGTTTTAGTTGTTTCTTTATCTAATTTAAAATGTAACATTTCAGTTTTTACATACGAGCTAGTTAAATTAATCAAGTCAAAGCATAGTATTGGATTCTGATCCCGGTAGCTTGATGTAACTATAAGAAAAATTAGAGATCACTACACGTGAATCTACGTTTCAAAACAGTCATTTGGCATTCTGTTTCAGTATATTCAAAATTAAATAACAGACTCAGTACGACCAATACAATTCTGGATACCCTCATGAAGGTCATCAAATAATCTAGTGATTATTTCTAAAGTTGTGAGTTATGCTGAGAAATTTAGAGACGGTGATGTATAGTTCTAAGGTAGCTTGTCAGTTTATCAAATGAGAATAGTATAACATCAGAATAAACTTTTAAAGGTTGAATTCTGTTTCAATTTAAATAATGAGTCGTCCTTCAAGTCAACATTTACAGGGGGTTTCTGTATGTCTCAAAAACAATGTTATAATAAATATTTTCACAACTTCTTGTAATAACGTTATTGATTACAAAACTAACAATGTTTCCACTAATTGGTTTACTTTTAGTCATGTAGAAGATCTAGTTAGATGACTTGGTTCAATGACTACAAGGTCACTATTCTTTTTTCTGGAAGGTTTGAACTTCCCTATTTCCCTATTATATATTGTTACTTATAGTAATTAAATGTTATCTCAGCTTGGAACATTGTCTTGTGAAATGGAGAATTATAAACAACATACAAAAAACCCATTCAACATTACAAATGTTGATTTTACTTGTTTAATAATGACTTACTTGGATTTGTTCAAATGGTACTTCAAATGCAAATGATTCATTGTAATAAGGATTTAATGTGCATTTCTTAATAGTAGTCTTCTTCTTTTTAATTCTCTTCCCTCCCAACATTAGAGAAAGTTTAACATATGGATCTGTAAACAATAATGTTGAGATAAATGATTAATAACAGCATAGGTTTTCGTATAACAATAAAACTTACTTACTTACGCCTGTTACTCCCAATGGAGCATAGGCCGACGACCAGCATTCTACAACCCACTCTGTCCTGAACCTTCTTTTCTAGTTCCATCCAGTTCTTGTTCATTTTTCTCATGTCTGTCTCCATTTCTCGGCGTAATGTGTTCTTTAATCTTCCTCTCCTCCTTCGACCTTGAGGATTCCATGTTAGGGCTTGTCTTGTGACGCAGTTCGGTGCTTTCCTCAATGTGTGTCCTATCCACTTCCAGCGCTTCTTCCTGATTTCTTCCTCCACTGGGATCTGATTTGTTCTCTCCCATAGTAGGTTGTTGCTTATAGTGTCCGGCCAGCGGATCTGAAGTATTTTGCGTAGACAACTGTTAATAAACACCTGTATCTTTTGGATGATGGATTTCGTAGTTTTCCAGGTTTCCGCTCCATACAGTAGAACTGTCTTCACATTTGTATTGAAAATTCTGACTTTGGTGTTGGTTGTCAATTGTTTTGAGTTCCAGATATTCTTCAGTTGTAAATATGCTGCTCTTGCTTTGCCAATCCGTGCCTTCACATCTGCATCGGATTCACCGTGTTCATCGATGATACTGCCCAAATATCTAAAGGTTTTTACGTCTTCCAAATCTTCTCCGTCAATTGTGATTGGATTGTTATATGCTGTATTGTATCGAAGAATCTTGCTTCTCCCTTCGTGTATATTGAGACCTATTGCTGCTGAGGCTGCAGCTACACTGGTTGTCTTCTCCTGCATTTGTTGTTGCGTATGCGATAGAAGAGCCAGATCATCTGAGAAGTCTAGATCATCCAATTGCATCCTAGCTGTCCACTGTATCCCGTGCTTCCCTTCAGATGTTGATGTCTTCATGATCCAGTCGATCACCAGGAGAAAGAGAAAGGGTGAGAGTAAGCAACCTTGCCCGACACCGGTCTTTACTTCGAACGACTTTGTCAACTGTCCTCCATGCACGATTTTGCAGTTTAATCCATCGTAAGATTTCCGTATGATATTGACTATCTTCTGAGGCACGCCGTCGTGTCGAAGAAGCTTCCATAGAGTTGTTTTGTCCACGCTATCAAATGCTTTTTCGTAGTCGATGAAGTTGATATATAGTGATGAATTCCATTCAATTGATTGTTCCACAATGATCCGTAGAGTTGCGATTTGATCTGTACATGATCTATCTTTACGGAAACCTGCCTGTTGGTCTCGAAGTTGTGTGTCTTCTGAGTCCTTCATCCTGTTTAACAATACCCTGTTAAAGACTTTTCCTGGTGTTGAGAGAAGAGTGATTCCCCTGTAGTTATCACAGTTGCTGAGATCGCTTTTCTTTGGTAATTTGACGATAACAATAAAAGCTGAACCATTTTTTTTTTAAAATCACAAAGTTCAAATTCAATATGGAACCATCATGAATGTGTTAATCAGCAACAAAAATTTCTCTGTTTTGATATCCATTTAAATTTAGTATCTATCCAAACATTATCAAACAGTTTTTGAATTTAAGGAAAATATAATAGGATCTTGCATAAAACAGTGTTTAATCACTAAAATTAAAACATAACTATTGATCTTGATCGGTCTTAGAAAACATGCAATATCATCCATGATTGTCTAAGATGTCAGTCATGATTGTAAATGATCCAAGCAAAATCAAACGTTTAATAATTGATCTTAGTTAGTATAAATATTTAAAGGTACAAGAAGAATCTATATTTAATTTCTATATGAAAATTTAACTGTCTCCACAATGGAGCCTATTTTACGTGAATAGATAATTTTGTGACCAGTGAACTACTTTCATAAGTTTATAATATATGAGTATTTGTTATACTTCCAACAATATCCTACCTATTTAAATCTAACAAAAGTTCAGTATGAGATAAGAATCTCACGGAGAACTTAATCATTAGAGAGATTTGTTAAGATTTATCAAATCTATTAACCTGTCAAGTCTAATGACGCTCACCTATGTTAGTAAGACAGACGTTTCGAATTATGTTTTTGTTTATTTTTTAATAACTCAATGGGTTACTTTGATTATCTCCACACAATTTAAGTTAAACCTATTTACATGTGATAAATAAATTAATATACTTGTAATATCCTAATAAGTAGAAAAACTAGATTTTCCGATGTTTCGTGACTCAATGTAAGCCCCTTCTTCTTCTTCTTCTTCAGAGAATAAATAACCAAATCAAGATGGATTTCCTGAAGTTCTAATGAAAAGCAGTGACCAGTATTCAACCGTATCTGTTGTAAGGCAATCATTTTTATTAGATTTAAGTAGGTAGGATATTGTTAGGAGTACAAGAGATACTCACACATTGTATTGGAAATTATCAAGCCAAACCTTAGTAATGATACCTTGTTTATATGTGAATTTTAATTCCTTCAGTAAATCTTATTATAAATTTTGTAATTATCCACAATTATAGATTATCTCATTTTTTAAAATATAATTTTAACAGATGTTTATATTCATTCGATGTAACTTAGCAACCAAATTGCTTATTTAGAATTTATCGTTGCTAAGATATGTTATTTTCTCATACTAAAAACAGAGTGACAGAGAGGAAAAACTGTACTGGTCAGTAGTTTACCAGAAAGAAAATTATCTTGATTTACAACACCAAATCACTGTATAACTGATTTGTTTTTGATTTGTCTTAATTGACCATTAACGTTAAGTGACCTATAGTCGATAAATCTATTCAATATTGTGTTGAAGTTACTTTATTTCTCAAATAAAAAGAAAAACAAATTTATTAACATCAATGGTTGAGACCAGGAGTCAGTTGAAGCTAGACCATCATGGAATACCTGGAAGCACTGGAAGGCCGTTTCGCCCTATTGTGGGACTCTTCAGCAGTGCGTATCCACGATCCCACCACCAAGCGAGATTCGAACCTAGGGTCTATCAGTCTCGCACGCGAGCGCTTAACCACTAGACCACAGAGCCGGCATGCAATGGTTTCAATGTCTAACTTCAACTAATCCAGGTATTCCATGGTGGTCTAGCTTCAACTGAGTCATGATCTCAAACACTGAATCTACTGTAATATCGACAGAACCCCTTCTGATACAAATTTATTATTGAAACTAACCAGATAATCCACCAACATCCATTTTCTTGAGATTTTTAGCTTCCAAAATATTGATAGTTAATTTTCCAGCAGTTGGGACATAACGTAATGAGAAACAAATATCACCAAGACGATTTTCCTTCAAAATATGAAATATGAACCATTTCATAATGGAACATTTTCGTAAACCGTTGAGTTAAAAATAAAATGAATCACTTTTAAAATTACCAAAATAAAACAATGTCTAACTCAGGTTGAGGATAGCTAGTGGTACTTCACTAGTGTGTAGTTGTTTGATCGCAAACATTAATATAGAGTTATGGAGATTGTTGAGTTTAAATTGAAATCATGAATGAAACAATGATAGATCACCATTGGAAGGCTGGAAGTATTGGCCTGCAGTTTTGTTCTAGTATGGGACTTCTGAGCAAAGCGCATCCACGATTCTACACACAGGAATTGAATCTAGAATCTTCGGTCTTGCGCGCAAACGCTTAAACTCTAGATCACTGAACCGGTATCAAACGGTGCTAATGTACAATTTCAACCAATCCGCGATATTACGCAACCGTCCGTCATCGTCTTCAGTGAGTATTATTATAATATTTTAACACATAGATATTGGTAGAAGGAGGCACCAAATATATATGCGTCACACAAATCAAATGAAATTTGTGTGAAGGCTGGGATACTGCTCGGGTGCCAAAACTCAAACAAGTGGTTTTCTGAAGGGGCCACATCCGGAGCCTTCGACCTGAAGGTCTGATCCACAAGGTAGTGGAGCATCGTAAGGAGATGCACTTCATGGTAGCTTGTGACCAACGATTGGTTCATACACTATTTGTCCCCTCAGGAGCCCATGTGCACGATTGGTTTGGAATAGGGGTTTTCCAACTCCCCTAGGTGAACTATCCATGTTCACCAACCCGGTTAAAGCGCCGGACATTCGCTTTTCGTCCTCTCAATTTCGTAAACACCCCCGCGGCGAGAAGGCAGTGAGTAGGAATTCCCTGACAGAGGCACCAACATTTTAGAAAATATGATCAACTTTAAAAAAAGTTATCACAGTCTCCACCTGTAAAATAAAGCTTACCTAATGTGTGAAAAAATAATAGATATTTTAACAGCTATCATGACTTTGAATAAGTAGTTGCTCCACAATACAGCTACAAGCCTACTAATCATCGTTTAAAGCCAATATTCCACTAAGTTTTATATTCTAAATAGAATATTTTTAATGGTTTATGCAACAATTGAAGCACTCAGAAATCTTTTAAATGACAGCTATGATCAACTGTCTCTTGACACTACGATTATAATGTTTGAAAGTTAAAGTATTCCTGGAAAAATCCTATTTTTTATTTTTGAACAAAAACAAAATTCATCAATGAACATTTCAGTTTAATTATGTCTGTTTCATTGAAATATTCGAAATAACGAAGTTCGATCAAAGGGCTGAAAGTTTTCCTAACATTCGATGTGATATGAATGATTGAGTATAAACCAATCAAGAGTAACAGGTCTATATTAGATAACTGATGTAATAAGAGAAATTGCTTTATGCACAAAACTACAGCTCAATAGTGCCAAAACTAAATGAATTGAACATAAACTTACCTTTTCATCATCATCAGGAGGACTTAAATCACGCCATTCCTCAATTACGCGTGCCAAATCAACAGATCCAAGTGGTACTTGAATTTGACCTATTTGATCATGTTTCGAAAATCTGTCGAAATCATAAACATTGAACACTAGAGTTTTGCCCCCGACCTCAGCATATGGAACCTTAATAGAATGGCAGAAACATAAAATTATTATGAAAGAGATTAAACTTTATTTGGTTACATGGAGTATTTAAGGATTATACCGTAGAAAAAATGACGTACTAAATGCCACTGATCGGATTTTTAAAACTATTCATTAAACACATTAAACAGAGGTAAATCATAAGCCTGAATAGAGTAGTACCCCACCATATAGATGATAGTTAACTAAAATCCTAATGTATTTTCGGTGACATTGCAACCAGGTGAAAATGACAAGCGAATGAAGCAAAACTAAACTGTAATAGTTTGATAGTCGTTCCAAGCAAAATTAAAAGGTAAAGCAAATACATCTTATAGGTAGTTAAAAAAGTGACTCTCCACTTGTAATGCTTCCAAATAAAAAAACCTAAATTTAAACTAAAAATCTCAGATGATTCAGGTAAACCAAAACAATTGATTAACTCCAAGACAAAGCTAATTTAATCAACCCTATTGAAGCTAATGATCTTCAGTGCCAGCAAAGAAATGTTAAAGTGAATAGATTTTGGTATAACGCTGGAGAAATTAGAAAAAGGAAAGATCAAAGACGTAGACTATGTCAGTGGTCTGTTGGGATGATCGAGAAAAGTTCTCGCAACAGACACGCATGGATCAGAAAACCTCAAGAAGCATTTCATCCAATCAGCGTTCACTTGGAGTTTAGCCAGAAACATCAAGGATGTGAAACGTCACATGTAGAGGTTCTGATTGGTTGATTGTTATACCGCTGCTATGTTTAGTAGCATTCCAGAATCTTCGAGAAACCCAAGGACATTCAGAATATCATAAAAACCCTATGTTTTCTGTATTAAAACGAACCTTGGAGAAAAGTACTTTTCGCATACTTTGCGCCTTCTCTCTCGTGTTCAGGTCGCTGTATAGTTCTGCTTGGGGGTTTCAAAAATAGCTTAGGAATCGAGTATAGCGTTCAAAATCTCAAGACTTATCATGACCTATTAAAATAAAGGAGAACAAATAAGATGCAAGCTGAAGAGAATCTCAATAAAGCATCAGATAAGCTTGTAATCCCGAATAGGTACACACAGTAAATCAGACTAACTTGTAGTTAATGAAAGCCTATTTAATTTCTAATTAACTAGTAACCTTTCTTCTTCAATAATAGATTTTATTTTATATCGTAAACTGGACTGAATTTAGCTAGGGAACCACTGTAAACTGAGAAACACTGAACAACTCTTTCGTCTTAGTACGATACTTCTATGAAAATTCTAAAAAAGTAGGTGTGTAATTTACAAAGTTGATTAACTACTCTGTTTATTCTGGTTAGCGTTTTTTAGCAAGGTTGTTTCCTATGGGGTACGATTGCTGACTACATGTCCAACCATCCTCCTTTACCTGGCCTTGGGACTGGCAGTAACCCTAGAAAAGCTACAGACGGATGCTGGAACTTCTCTGAGACAACCATAATAGCCTCCCTAAACAATTGTTTAATGTTTCAGAATGATCCTTGAACTGAGCAGAAATATAAACTTTAAAATTTAGGAGAATCACTGTGTTCTTCATGCACCTGTTCTTATTATACCACAGTTGATTATTCAATATGATTCGACCTTGGGTATCTTATTGTCTAGTCGAGAAACACTGTCTAGTTATGAAACAATTAATAACACAAACAATGAAATAACAGCTTTGATTTGAATAAGTAATCCTTACATGCCATATTGACCGTCGTAGTAAAGAAAAAGTGTCAAGTTTACGTAAGTACATAGACAGAAGTCGAGCTAGTGTTGTGAGTTAGCGTTTTCACCCTATAGAGTTTTCATCACCAAATGACATTGGTTATAAAGCAAAGAGATTAGAGTTAGGTATTTAGAGTTAAAATGAAGTTTTGAATTAGGTTTACGAATTAGGTTCAGGTTTTTGAGCACGAATTGACAGCAATGCTTTATCACCCTTCTGTTTACAAACTTGATAAACTTATAGTTGAGATTTATAGTTGGGGCAAGAAAGAGAAAATATTATCTAACTTCACTAAATACTTTTGATTATGCAACGAACTACATCAAGTAGTTAAACAAACAATTTTCTTAAGGAGAAGGTATAATTAGTAAATTGGTGTAAGCACCGTCCAAAATTCGATTTTTGGTTACATAACAGATATTTTTTATTGATTTCAAGCGTTTTAAGTACCGACTACTGCCATTTTTCACTTTGTTGATGTCGACAATACACGTTACCTAACAATGAACTTTAAATTTCACGCATAATACATGAAGTATTATCTTAATTCTGATTGATCAACAGAAGGACATCAGTTTACGATACTTTAACCATAATTAATTACATTTTTAGAAGTCTAATAAATATCACAGTTCCGAATAAATAACTCTCCAAATGCCCTGGTACAGCCAAGGGTGGGGAGAGTCAGCTTTCTCTCTCCAAATACTCTCACATGACCACGCGTATACAGCTACTGTCAGGGAAGTTCTACTGATGGCCTTCTTGTGGCGGCGGTGTTGTTTACGAAATTGAAATGACAAAAGTCGAATGTCCGGCTGGGTTGGTGGACACGAACAGTTCACCTAGAGGAGTTGGAAAACCCTGATACCAAACCAATGGTGCAGATAGGTTCCAGGATCCTAAGAAAACAAATGGTGTATGAACTAGTCGTTGATTGCTGGCTACCATGAGAGTGAATCTCTCGACGTTGCTCCACTGTCTTGTGGATTAGGACAAATGCTCCGGATGTGGCCCCCTCTAAGAAAACCACTTGTTTCGGTTTTGGCACCCGGGGAGTATCCCAGCCTTCACACAAATTGAATGATTTATGTGACGCTTATCTATTTGTTGCCTTCTCTTACCTATGTTTATATGTTTAAATAAAGAATAATAAATTAATAGTTTTCAACATCATCTTAAAAGTGAATTCAAATAAATTACAGCAAGAAAAAAAAATAAATGACGCTATCATTGTTTCAACATAATGACTATAAGTCCAAATGGATTCACATTACAATAGTTATTTAAAATCATCAGGTTTCGATAGACTATCCATGTGGTCATATATCTAAATGCTTAATGATAACACAACTAAATGATCTAGAGAAAGTTGAATTTAATAATACGAGTGTACAAAGTAATAATTGCACATTTCTATTTTAGAACAAAAATGACCATAATATCTAATGAATTTCAGTTAGTTAAACAATAGCATGATTTTAATGGCATCCCCTAACCGAAGAAACACTTAAAATAGATAACAAGAAATGGTGTAATGCTTATTTCAAAGAAATAAAACATAATCTTATTATCAGAGAAGGGTTTTTGTGAATATTATAGTAACTCATGAATTAATTGAAGCTAAACCATCATGGAAAACCTGGAAACACTTCTGATGATGAGTCCCATATTAGAACAAATCGGCTATCCAGTTCTTTCAGTTTATCTATATTGATCTAGCTTCAATTGACTCATGAATTCAACCGTTAAATCTGATTATCAGTGAAAACAGTAAATGAATGACTAATTTTTAATGCATTGGCCAGTTTGTTAAAATGCATAAACTTTCAAATGATAGACTATATTTATTAAATTATCAATTGTCCACTATCTCTAAATCATTTCTCTTAGTTGAATTATTTCATAATATACGGTCAAAGTGTTGAAAGCGAAAAACAAACTATGTAGTCTACTTTAAAGGGAACTAAAATAAACCAATATCTATTTTAAAGAGAGCAAAAACAAAGGTTGGTGAAGAATAATAGGAATTCATTTTATTTCATTAGGTTCTCATCAGCTGCTTACAACCTAATATATTTGAAATCCAACGTTATTACAGATATTACCATACTTATACATCAGTGGGTGATAACATGAAAGGGATACCTGTCGACCATTGAATGTGTCAAAGAACATGTTGTTCATGTTACCACCAACTGTGTATACAAATTTACATGTATCTGCCAAAACAGTTACATTGGTAGAACAGAAAGGAGAGCCTACGTCCAATTCGAAGAATATATTCTGAAGGGTTTGAGATTGAACGGACTAAAAGCATTCAGCAGCGCTATCGCAAGACATCTCCTTGACACAGGACACGAAGTCGATACAATGAAGTCCTTCAAGGTGATCAACAAACAATCAAACTCAAACATTTTGAAATTTGCCGAAGCGATAGCAATCAATCGTCTAAAGCCAGATCTATGTATACAAAAAAAAGACAGTGATAAACCTTTCTTTGTCCTGGTAACATTACCCCACCTCCACCCTTTTATGTATTTATTACGTCATTCACTATTCCAACTCTTTCTGAATTTTATAATTGCATCATTCATAACTGATCAATTTCAATTCATATCCTTCTTTATTACTATTAATCTATTTTCAATGATTAAGATCATGAGTCAGTTGAAGCTAGACCACCATGGAAAACCTGGAAGCACTGGACGGCTGTTTCGTTCTATTATGGGACTCCTCAGCAGTGCGCATCCACAACCTCGCCCCCTGCGAGATTCGAACCCAGGACCTACTGGCTTCGCGCGCGAGCACTTAACCACTAGACCACTGAGCCGGCATCCAACGCTGTTAATGTCTAACTTCAACTAATCCACGAAATTGAGCGACACATCCACCATTGTCTTCAGTGAGTTACTATTCCACAACAGACCTGGTTGAACTCCACTGGTCACTACTTCTCACTAGAACTCCAGGATATACCTCTTGAAGCCAGTCATAATAGGACGAAACGGCCGTCCATCGCTTCCAGGTTTTCCATGGTGGTCTAGCTTCAACTGACTCATGATCTTAATCATTGAAATTACTACAATCTCCACAAAACCCCTTCTGATAATAATCTATTTTCAGTTATTTCATTACATAATCATCTGATGTGTTTGCTTTTTAATTTCATGAGTTCTAATCACTATTTCAATGTTCTGGAACCTTCCCACCCAAACTCCATAATCGAAACAAAAAATTTTATGACCTCATTAACTCTAACGGAATCTTTGTTACATCATGATACACATATATTCATCCTTCATCACCCTCTGATGTATAAGAGTATGTCAATAACTGTAATAACGTTGAATTTCAAATATTTTAGGTTGTAAGCAGCTGATGAGAATCTAACGAAATAAAATGGATTCCTATTATTCTTCACCAACCTTTGTTCTTACTCTCTTTAAAATAATAAAGGGAACTATGTGTATGAAATATTTATTTTCTTTAACTAGAAAGCGTAACAGATATAAATTAATTCAAAAGAAATTAGTCAGCTTCATTAATTGACATTTGTCAACTAAATCTCTTCAGACCAATGAATAACAAACATTAACCATCAAATGAACAAAACGATAAGTCAGTATGTAAAATTGTAGTGAAGGAGAACACAGGTGACGACAATCGATAATATTTATCATAAAAATTACAAAGTTACTTGGTAAAATAAAAAAACAACAAACGATACTCTAATACTTCATATGAGAAAATGGTCATTAATTGTTTCAGATTTCATTGTTCCTACATTTCCATACCAATTACTTTCTGTTCCTGTTCTTTCCTCTTCGTTCTCAATCTTCTGTTGTCAGACATTCTATTTTTGACTTGCGTTATATATTACTTATGTCAATATAAGTAGCACACCACTGAATGTCTAATGATCACTTAAAAAATTTATTCATCAATGTAAGAAGGATATCTAGCATCCATGTTTGTAGATCCCGAAGTATATTAAGTTTCATTCACATATATTATGACTATTATTAGTATACATCTTAAAAAAATACATTTATAAAATATTAAATTAAAGCTCAGTATGATCATAATACAATAAAAGACCCTTACTTTAAACACAAATGTTTCATTGAATACTGGATTTAATGTTTTTCGATGTACTTTAGTTTCATATTTCTTTTTCTTTTCAGGCAATAGAAACACTTTAACATATGGATCAGATGTTCCAGATAAATCCATTCCAGGCAAATCAGTAGCTTGTATTACACCAACTGTTAACTAAATGATATACAAGAAATATTAACACATAATCAATGAAGGTATAAGATGAAGAAAAAAAAAACAAGCTCTTAATCATTATTAAAGAAGAAAGAAGTAGAATCAATAAAGTCTTCAATGCATACGAAAAGTATTGATAACAATATTCATATAATTATTTTAGAAAGTAGCATTAGATGCTATTGAAAGATACGAAGATACAGGTAATTAGTATTCTGAAGTGAAAGACATAACAGTATTTTAATGATGTACTTCACTATGAGTTTGTGTATTTTCCATCTTAATATAAATCTTGGGGAGTACAAATGAACACTATTTATGTTTGAATAAGTAATGATAAAAGTTTGGTAATATATTATGGTTTACAATTTGTATAAGATAGATGATTTTCTGATGAGCCTCTAGTTGTCAATCTGGACAACAGAATCAGTACAAAGTTTAAAATCAAGAGGTAAGTAATGAAAATCTATTGAAAATTTTGTTAACAGGGCTGTTTAATAATCTCAAATATGGTTAAATGTTTTAAGTAGTGATACTGTAGTGAACAGAACACGGTTGGGGACAATCGAATGTATTTGACAACAAATTACAGAACTAGTTAGTAAAATCTAACAACCATATATTAAATGCTCAATTTGAAAAATGTCCATCAGTTGTCTCAAAATGACTCAGACTTCCTTTTTTCTTATATTTTCACACAAATTGCATGCTGTCTTCATTTTTTATTGTTCGATTTTCCTGTCTCTCTGCTGCCAGACATTCTGTTCACGACAAACATCATATACTACTTATGTAGACATAAGTAGTACACACCACGCTCGTCCCCCCTTTAAAGCAGTCGTTCTTAGGGGGGGTCATGCTCGTCGTACAACATTATTCTTTTCTGCAGTCAGTGCGACGCCCTTCATCAAAATGTCGATTCTGCAGAGCACTGACCTCAATAGCTCCGTCGACCTGCCGGGGCACCAACATCCGACATCCACCCGGCACCTGGGACGTTTATCACACTTGCTCCATTGGCGTGCTGAGCCATCTACATCCGATGTCCACCCAGCAGCCGCACGTCCAACAGCTCCTTCCCGTCGACAGCACCTGCTACAGCAAACGCCGCCCCGCCAGAACACTCCAACAGACGCCATCTCTCCGCACCAGACTGCCCCAACGTGCGCCTCAGCTCCAGGCCCTCAACGGCGTCCGCAGAACAGCACCCTCCCCCTCTCCTGCTTATGTCTACATAAGTAGTACACACCACAATATTAATATTTTCTACACATATACTTCAAATCATTATGATGATGTCCTGATTTCAGAGCTTGTTGCTCATTTACAGGAAGGCTTATTCACAAGTTAAAGATCAATAATCAAATAAAAATAGTGAAAAACGAAGTTTAATGAACGCCGCAATTTATAACTTCATAGTATGGCAAGGCTAGCTGATCAAAAATCCCTTTATGCTAAATAATTTTAACCTCATGGAATCCCTGGGAAATTAAAACACATAATAGAGCCGTTTGAAGTCCACGTATCTCACTCTCCCTTGTGAGTAATATAATTTCTGAATCAAAATGTCGGTGAAACTGTAATTTATGGACGACCTCTGAGAGACGCTAAAGTGACCTTGAGAGTTTTCACCTAAAATAACTAGGACCTGATGAAGGTTATAAACCAGTGTGAGGAATTGGAATTATGATTTACAGTTGATGGTTAGGATTGGAATTACAATTACGGTTTTCATCACGAACTGACATCAGCTATAATGCTAAAACTATTTAGCTAAATAAATGAGTGAATTTCGCGCCAAAATCCGAGACCTATTATCTTACACCTGATTAGTTCGTCCATAAATTATAGTCTCGCCAAAATGTCTATTTTCTTTCTCATTAATTCTAATGTTTTAGCATATACAAGATATAAACCCTTATATTCATTAGTACAACACTAATTTTTACACTTTATGTTAATTCACTTGGGAAACGAAAAGAGGAATGAAAGGAACACAATGGAATCCATTTATATTCGTAACAATGGAGGAAGTTATGATGTTGATATTGGAAAATATTCCTACCCTGGTGACCTGAAGAAAAACTCGATGCCATAAGCTGTGCACTAACAGATAAACAAGCAACCAATCAGATTGTAGTTTAAACGCCAACGGTTGTGATTCAGTCAGACAATATTTAGGTTAGTTTTGATTTGACTACTAATCAATGATTAATGTCATAGTTTACAGTTTATTCCTTGGTACGTGAAGAATATTAGAGTGATTAGTTTAATTTAAGATTGCACGAAATATCTTGTATGTATGTTACATATACTGAAGAATGACGATAAACAAGATCAAAGAAACATTTTACAGGTAAATTGCAATCAGTACTGAGAACTAAAACAGTAACAACCCATTGAAAAATAAATCAGTCCCTTGTTTAAATAAAAGTCAATTCCCATTCAGCTTGCGGGGTGCTTAGATGAAAGCTAATGATAGTTCATCAAGGATAACACAGGTGAGGACAACCGAACCATATTTAGCACGAAATTACAGAGTTACTTTGTAAAATAGAAAAAACCATACTATAATACTTAATATACAAAATGTCCAGTAATTTTCTCGGACTTCATTGTTCTTGCATTTACATACTAATTGCTTTCTATTCCCGTTCTTCCTTTCTTGATCTTCTCCATCTTCTGCTGCCAGACATTACATTCATGACTCACGTCATATACTACTTATATCAATATAAGTAGCACGTACCATAAAAGTACATTTTTTGGTACTTAACAGACTGGTGTTATTTGGTTGAAAGTCATATGAATAACTTACTTCTAGACTGGATTTTAAAAGTTCTGCATTCTATAATGTCATTCTAGTTGATAATAAGAAAGAACTTACACTGGTGACAAAATAAGTATCAATTCTAAGATTGATTATATATGAGGCAGACAATGCACACAATGGGAAAGTAATAAATTAGAGGTAGGTTCCTTTAAAAGAACATTAATCTTTAATAAAAGGTTATATTTAGTATACGTCAAGCTACACCGAGTTCATTTTCCGTTTGGTGGCTTTATAAGGATGTAGTCGAGATTACATGGCCTTTATATTATGTTGTAAGTACACTTGTCCGAGGATAGACAAAACTATTCTTGTGAACAAATATTCCAATAGTCTTGGATACAGAAAAACTGATTACATGAAATGAACTACTATCTACGTAGTAGTATCTTATTATCTATTCTCGCATTATGCTTCATTTGTTCAATGAACGTCTTGTAAACAATAAATTATTACATCTTTGTTAACCTTCACCTTGAGATAATCGATGATGATCCTCGTTATTTTATGTGTGCACTATAACCATGAGACTACTAATTCTAACTGGTTGCTACAATATAGTTTTACCGAAGAATTATACAATCAGATGGTGGTTGGAGGTAGTCGACAGGAAACACTGGACCCGGGTTTCGTGCTACTTGGCACTCGTCAGCAAGGTGTACCTGTAATCTTTGAGGGAACTGGTGGTAACGTTAAAAGAGACATTATGAAATTCTTGTGACACATAAGGTGAGCTGACTGATAATAATTAGTTTAAAACCATTTACTGACAATCAAATATGAATCTTTTATACTACAATGTAGGTAAATGTACATTACATTTCAAACAAATAATTCACATGAATAAATTACCTCTCCTTGAGTAAAATCGTAGTCGATAGAATATTGTAGTTTGCCCAAATTGACTTCTTCTTTCTCTTGTACACCTTCATTATCTTCCATATTTGCTTCTAATTCATCTAGATCTCCCTAAAGGAAGTTAAATTGTGTATAAGCAAAATTATTATCTTTCAAATTTATAACATTATGGATATTCATCTCAATATGACAGAAATACCTACTAAGAGATAACAGTGTTTAAATAGCCTTATAGACCGAAATAAATTGGATAATCAATCATTCAAAATACTACTTATAAGCAACAGAAATAATATGAGTGAATTAGGAAACAGTAAAACTACTGGGATATCGGGAACACATCCAAACACTACCAGAACTAATTTCATAGAGGAATAATTCTGAAAGGACTGGTGTTATGGTGTGCTTACTCGGAGTTGAATTGATTATATGCAGTAAGAGTTTACTTGACATATGAAATCATTCTGTCCTAAATCTCAGTCTGTTGCAAATAGATCATATTCGTATGTATATTAATTGAGTTGATTCCGACAAGTTTAATAAAAACCCTTTTCTATGAAAATTTAGACATCCGGAAATTCCCTAGGATCGGTTCATGCTACGAGTGCTAATCACAATCCTATTAATCTGTAATAAAGTATAAATTCCAGTTGTTAGTAGAGAGATAACTTGAAAAAATCGTCAGATAAGCGATAATCAACCGACATTTAATCAATCTAACAAAATAAATAATAAGTGATTACGAAATTACACCTAAACCTGACTTATTTGTTCAAAAGGAGATGGTTATTAATCTTTCCTTGCCTTAGTGATAAATATTCCTTTGTTACATCTTTAAAAAAATTCTTTTCAACACTTTTTTTTTCATTTTAAATATCACAGATTGCAAGTAGCTGACGAAATCCAAAAGAACTAGAATGAATTCATGCCATTCTGCTAGGATCTTTGTACTTGTTCTCTTCAAGATAATAAAGGGAACTATGTGTATGAAAGTTGAAGATATCTTTAGCTTGTTGAAATAAAAGCTGCAATGAGAATTACACTCTAATATGCAGCATACATCCACTATATGAAAGGATACATCACACCTTTTGTATATAGAAGAGATTGCAAACTACCTCTACCTTTCGTTAGTGTTATGGATTTGAATTCCTCTTTGACCTGCAGTAGTTTATTATATGGTTACATAAATAAAGACATACTCAATATCTAAAGAGATACTTCCAGAAATGTCCTCTAGAAAAAATTTTGATTCTTCTCAACGAGTGACCGAAGGTCCTGCGTTCGATTCCCTGTAATGAGCTTGTGGATGCATACTACTGAGGAGTTTTATATCAGGATGAAACAGATATCAAGTGATCCTTAGTTTCCGACGATAATCTATCTAAGATCAGTTCGTGATTTGAACAAGAAAAACGTTTTAAATTTGGATAAACTGACACTATTTTGCTAAACTTTTACAGTACAATTAGTGCACCACATAAACCCATGAAACCATAAACTGTTAGTAAGGTTTGTTTGGTAAGGTGTAGCTTACCGGCTACGTCTGATGAATAATCCATGGTTTGAGAAGTCAGACAAGTTGACTTGAAATATGGTAAAATGCAATAGGTGCATTTATTGATTATCTTTTTGTAAATCTTAGATAATTTGTCATTAACTTATCCAAACATTACCTTCTTTCAGTTATTTTTAGAGAGAATTTTCAAGTAGCTAGTTTCGTCTCAATGTTATGTGCTAAGTTTTATCTAGCTCTACCTATTAGACAATCGAAAGTGCATCTATCTCATACAAGTTGGACAATGTAGGATAAAGTCTTCCACCTATATGGAAATAGAGACTAAATTTCCTAACGGAAAAAATGTAGGCTTTAAACTACTTCTTTATAGGTGACGACTTGGGTTACAACTCAAAATTCTCCTTATGATTAATCTATTTAGACAACAATCGTTGGTCAGTAAACAATATTCGCAAATCAAACAAGAGTCCATCCATATAGAAAATGAGAAAAATATCAAAGATAGTATTGTATAATAGTCATGATATATCGTAGATTAAATAAAGGTTGACATGTATATATCTGGGTTCCAACTCATTGGTCTAAAGTTATTGTGTTGGCCACCATGACACGATCCATAGTATCGTCATGGAAGTATTCCACTCCATCAACTCCCACAATATGATAACATAGCTACTGAATGTTCAGAATTTTTCAACAAGCCATCATAAACTATTTCTAATATCTTTTTAAAACATAAATACTTTTCAGTTTAAGGGTTGTGGAGATTGCTAAGTTTTTGATTGAAATCATGAACCGATTGATGTTAGACCACCATTCGAAACCTAGGAGCACTGGATGGTCGTTTCGTCCTGTCGTGAGACTCCTCAGCAGTGCGCATCCACGACCTCGCTCGCGGGATTCGAACCCAGGGCCTCCAGTCTTGCGCGCGAACGCTTAACCTACTGGACCACTGAGCCGGCCGGCATCCAATGGTGTTAGTGTCTAACCTCAACCAATCCACGAAGTTACTTTTGAAAATTCAATTATTAACCAATGACTCATATTCCTACACCCATTACAATTAGATCGGTTAACTTGGTCATTCACAAACGATAGATAATGAACAATTTCTTAAAGGTGACTTAAAAGCTCACTGAAGCATTAAAAAAACCAGTATTGATAAACATCAATAAATCTCACCTTATCTTTAGCTAAACCTTTGCCTAAAAGTTGTACACTTTTTATATCTGCTTTGCTTTTTTTCGCTCCACGATCCTTTTTTCGACGTTTGAATACGCATCGTTTACAAATACAAAACAATATTAATAAAACAAATAGGATCACACCAATAACCATAGCAATCACAGCTCCTGTTGGAACTAGAAAGAAAAAAATGAAACAGAAGGTAATTAGTGAAGAGTGTCAAAAACAGATAACAAGTGTGAAGGTATATTGTTTGATGACCAACTTCATGCTAATCGAATTCAAACCAGTCAATATAAATATCTCAGTCTTGTAGTCAGTTCTGGAAAGAATAGCTTAATAGCAATATCTCAGAATATGAAGCTGGATGATGGGTATTTGAATCCCACATAGAGAATTAATTTCGTTAAGACTAAAGGTATGCCTCGCTAGAGAGCGCCAACTAACATGCGACTTATGTCCGTAGTTGGTATCTGGCCGCCTACAATCATCTAGCATCAAAAGTATATGATTTAGACGTGGATTTTCTACCGAATATTATTCATCAGTAAGGGTATATCCCAGCCAAGATTTAAAATCACATTGCTCAACATACTAGCCAACCACGTCCCCGCTACACATTTTGCTATGTAAGTACACACTTCACTATGTATGATTGATAGTCTTTCTGGTGCTACAGTCATTCAGCCATGAATAAATTCGAAACAGCCAAAATGTGATTGAACCAGTAGGCACTTAACGTTCAAGTTAGACCTAGGATACTGAGTATAGTAGATAAGCTAATAGATAAGTAATTCAACCACCATCTACCAAGTGGGTTATAACACATGCCTCATATTGCTAACATTCACCATTAATGGTAGAAAAATGTTTTGATAAAGTAATTCTCAATTTACTTTCTTTTTCAAACTTTATCACTAGCCTGTTTACTTGCGTTGTCAATCAAAAGTATCTCATGAAATTTTGTGAAGGAAAAGAACCAAGAGTTTGTAGAAGATATCAGAAAGACCTTAGTTAACTTTATTAATAACAAAAATCAGTAAAGATTTTATAAACAATTTCTCAGTCAATAAATCCTGATGACTAACTTTCAGGTGTCTCAGTGTTCATGAAATTCATTCGATTTTTCAACCCTTTATACTCCAAATTTAGACTATGATCATAAAAAGTCGATAGTAGTAAATTACGATTATCTACTCTTTGAATTCAATACAACCAGCATTATGATTACAGAAATTCTATCCATCAATTATTTTGATCTTTCAATAGAATTAGAATCAAAGTATAAACATCATTGAGGTAGGACTCTAATTTATGGACGAGCCAATCAGAGGCGTTTGAGGAAGTTCAAGGTCACGGCGCTAAGTTCGATTCTAGATGCTCACATTCGATCGTTTTACAGCAGATTTCAGAGAAGAGGTGATTGTTGAGCGACTATAACAGATGGGACTATTAAGAAGTTCCTGTGTCTGTGACTGCGGCAATCAAATGACTGCAGCACGATGTGCAGACTACCGTGATGATATTGTATTTCGTTGTACTATATGTTGGAGAAAAAAATCTGCTCGAACTGGCACTTTCTTTGCGCGATCACAAGTACATGAATCGTTTGGGGGAGTTGGAAAGATAGTGGAAATAGATGAGACAGTAATTAGAAAGCGTAAATACAACAAAGGACGTTTTATCAAGGAAGATTGGGTAAGTAACACTTCAGTGAATATACGTCATTTTGTCGATCCAATGACGGGGGTTCATACAAACAATATTGAAGGCATGTGGTCTAGGCTGAAGTATTTTTAAGACCCTACCACGGTTCCAGAGGACGATTAATATGGAGCCATATGGACGAGTTCCTATACCGCATGCATTATTATTTCAGAACTTCTGAACCTTTATCAAACCTTAACAAGTTCCTAAATCATGTGAAAGAAGAATATCCATTGTAATTCATCAGTTTTTCATAATATATTTTTACTCTATACCAACTCTCTTCTGATTGGCTAATGTTCTCAAGGTCACTTAAACGTACGTTCAAAGGTCATCCATAAAATAGAGTTTCACCATCATTGATTATTAAATAGGCAAACGGATAAAGTTTTTGATCTTTTAAAAATATGTAGTTTAGAAATTTTAACATTTGATCAACTAGATAGCGAAAACAATGTTGAATTTCTCTCTGTTTAACTTACCATGCATTTTTACTGCTAATTCTTTGATAAAATCATCCATTTTTTGCTTGAATTCTTCACCGGACCCTTCAACTGCAACATGGTCGTTGGGGTCCACTTCATGATGTACTTTTTCATGGATAGTAGATGGTTCTGACTCCATTCTAAAATGTAAAACAGGATCATTTTTAAATGATTCCAAAGCATTAATTAGGACTTAACTAATTTTACAATGGAGTGAAATTTGTCCTGTATTCCAAAGTACTTTAAATATTTCATAGTATTCCATAGTAATGTATTTTAAAAATACAACACGTCTATAACTACTCCACAAATACTATCATCAGCATTAATACAACAACTCCTGTTGATTGTAATCACAGAACAAGAATTGTATATTGTTACAACATAGGATTCCTTTGACTCTATAAACTTTGCGTTTCCTCAAGGCTATAGTAAGTGAGGTAAAGTTGGACAAGTAAAACTTAGCTATGATTTTGTTATTGTTATATCCAATGAAGACTAAAAGAATGTTAACTTGCAGGAATAATTTAAGAACTATTATTATATGAATTTTTATTCTATAATTATTAAGTAACTAGATTATTATGTATAGAATTCATTTTATCATAGGTTTTCGATCGACAAATTAACTAATGTTATACCATTTACTATATACTGTCTCTCCCATTCACAGCCATCTTTGGCTCGTTCATGTATAGTAATTATTTTGATGTGGTTTGGTAAGTTTAAATACGAACTACATTTGTTTAAAATGTAAAATAGTTGAGGCTGGCCAAAAAAACAGGAGCTGTCAGATCGTGAATCAACATGGACTTAGAAATTGGCTCAAGGTTACTAGTGCCAGTTGGACGTATAATTGGTCAACTCAGAGATACGAAATAGTATTAATCGGGATTCTGATTGATGATTTTGTCATAGGAAGACATAACACTGTTCAAGTGTACTAGTGATGAAAATCTTATATTTTTCTGTCAGAAGGGGTTTTGTGGAGATCGTAGTAATTTCAATGGTTGAAGCTAGACTACCATGGAAAACCTGGAAGCACTGGACGGCCGTTTCGTCCGGTGGAGTTCAACCAGGTTAATGAAGACAATGATGGATGTGTTGCTCAATTTCGTGGATTAGTTGAAGTTAGACATTAACGCCGTTAGATGCCGGCTCAGTGGTCTAGTGATTAAGTGCTCACGTGCGAAACCAGTAGGTCCTGGGTTCGAGTCTCGCAAGGGGCGAGGTCGTGGATGCGCACTGCTGAGGAGTCTCTTATTAAATTGCCTTTGATCAATATGAAACAAACACTTCAAAAAAAATAATACGCGGCCAGAAAACTTTCTTAGTGTTTTAAGTTGAATATCATCGATAGAAAATTGAGCAACAATTTATTCAAGTCTTTCTTATACTCACGATTGTAGAAGCTGATAAATAGTGAAGTCATTGGAAATATTAAATTTAAAGCTGCTTTTTTATCTTTACTTAATACCATAAGAGGAATACTGACTGATATGATCTATTCTAACTCAGTCCATTCAAACGATTACATGCTATAAAAGATTAGTGTGAGAATATAAAGAGAGGATATGTCGTAAATTCTCTAACAGTGTCTCAATAAGAACTCAACCTCAAGGAACATCTTCACCATAGACTACAAATGACGGGAATAGAGATCTGAGGCCTGTACACATGAGTATCACATTGAATTGTAACAAATCTTATGGTAACAAACATAAATTTGTTTAATGAAAATCTATCGATAAACACTGCTGAGTCCCATATTGGATACGACAACTATCCGATACCCTCCAATATCCTGAATTAAGTCAATTTGCAATGAAACTCAACTAAAATATTCCTTCATTTATTTATTTCATAAAGATCACAGATGAAATTCAAATAAATTGGTTCCAAATCATAAAGAACTGTATTATAATTGCGCTTAACAAGCTTAAAAGCAACGGGAATATTTGAATTTCATAATTTGTGAGCCAAGAACATTGAAATGTAATAACTGTTATATCCTGACGAAGGATAGGTGAATGATAACTGCTAGGACTTATTTATGAACTGTTATTATATATATTCTTATTGTACAACTAGTAAGTGACTATATTGTATGTAGATTTATTTTCCTCTTATTATAAGTTTCCATTTTACATATTGGCTATTATTATACGATTTACTATTCTTAAGTTATTCCCAACTTATTAGTGACAGTCTCTCACAACCACATCCACATTTTGATTTGATCTTGTATAATTGTTGTTTTCTATTTTATGATATGATGTGGTCTGATTTGTTTGTATATAAACTGCGTGTGTTTGAAATGCATGATTCATATGGCGGCGGCTGATATTGGTGTACTGGACAGAACCGGCAGAGTTAAACCAAAAGCTACTATTTCAATGGACCAATAAGAACTAAGTGTTGACTCTATGTTGCTCGTACTGGTTTATGTGTCATTGGTCTGGTGAATAAATCGGTGTTCTAATTGACGATAAGTCACATGATATATTCGAAGGGGTATCAGGACAAAACAGTAACTGTTTAATTTTTCCAATTATTCAATAAATGTCGAAATAAGAATTTTCGTTATGCTAATTATGTATAATTGGTTTTCAATGACAAATAAAACCAATATCAGAAAATATGAATTAAATTAATAGTTAAGATGAATAGTGGCTAGTAGTGAAATACAGTTTGACGCGCATTTTGTCCTATTTGAGACTCGTCAGCTGGATGTGCCTAGATCTCAGAGTTGATGTTCACTCTGGGACTAGAATCCGGTATCGTTCGTTTCAAACGCCATCGTGTTACCCACTTAGGACGAGACGCTCGTCCTGGATTCCACTACTAACAACTATTCATCTTTGGTTATTAAGCTTGTTACTTAAGTCAATATCGAGGCAGTCCGAATAGGATGCACATGTGCCAACAATAGACAAATCCACGCTATTGGGGTTGTGGAGATTATTAAGTTTTTGATTGAGATCATGAATCGATTGATGTTAGACCACCGTTGAAAACCTGGAAGCACTGGACGGCCGTTTCGTCCTAGTATGCGACTCCTTAGCAGTGCGCATCCACGATCCCGCTCGTGGGATCAAGTGTGAGAAGCCGTGACCAGTGAAGCTAATCCATGTTGGGTAGAGACAGGTATCTACCTCAGTACAATGGATGATGGTCGCGCAATTTCGTGGATTGGTTGATGTTAGACACTAACGCCATTGGATGCCGGCCGGCTCAGTGGTCCAGTAGGTTAAGCGTTCGTGTGCGAGACTGAAGGCCCTGCGTTCTAATCTCGCAAGAGGGATTGTGGATGAGAACTGCTGAGGAGTTCCACAATAGGACGAAACGACCATCCAGTGCTTCCAGGTTTCCAACGGTGGTCTAACATCAGTCGATTCATGATTTCAATCAAAATAGACAAATCCATTGTAGTCCTATATAACAATGATAAAATACAAGTAAACGACATCAATTGAATTTAAATTAATAGTTAGTTAAATTCAGTGTATATAACTAAAGTCAAACTTTAACAAGAGAGAAGTTGTAAACTGATAAAATCCTACTGATGTTTAGTGGAAACATTATATATTTAAATTAAAAGATATGATTGTAATCATGATAATGTGTATGGTACAGGTAATGTTCTTCATTAAAGTAAACAGTTGAAACAGTTATGTCAACGTAATGCGTGATATTATCAAGTCAGATGAATAAAAGTGAGTGAGTACTTCAAAGTATTATTTAAATCAACATTCATAAGTTTTCTGTTGATTAACAAACAGGAGACTTAAAAAAAGACAACAACAAGATGTATATAATATGCTTGAGATTGGGTAAACAGTTACATTGGATAGCATTATTAAATCATTATAAAATAAAACATTTACAGTTTATAAAATGTACTGCAGCTTTTAAAAAAGAAAAGTCTACACTCCTACTATGATAGTAAAATTCATGTTATATATGTTCAGGGACGGCTCCCAGTAAACTCAAGGAAGCTTAAAGAAGTTATAAAAAAGCCAAAGATAATTCATCAAATCATCTTTTAAAAGAACATTCCAGAATCATGACGTGAAGCATACTGATTGGATAAATGCTCAAGATCACCGCACACGTATTGGATGACTGCAATCACAATATCACTTTTACTAAAAACGATAAATACCTGAGTGTTTCGTAACATAATTCAAAACTGCTTATAAAGACCAGTACCATTTTGATGATGGTTGTAGTGGATCTCCAAGTTTCAGCTCCGTACAGTAGAACTGTATTGACGTTCGTATTGAAAATTCTAACTTTGATATTAATTGACAGACAGTTGTTTTGAGTCCCATATGTTATTCAACTGTAGGAATATTGTCCTTACTTTGCCAATTCGGACATTTACATCAGCATTAGTTCGTCCACGTTCATCGATGATGCTACTCAGATACGTGAATGTTTCCACCTCTTCCAGAGTTTCCCCATCAAGTGTGATTGCGTTGGTGTTCTCCGTGTTGTATTTGAGTATCTTGGTCTTCCCCTTGTGTATGTTGAGGTATACTGATGCAGAAGTTTCTGCTACATTGGTTGTCTTGACCTGCGTTTTTGAATGTGTTTGGGATAGATGGGGTAGGTCATCTGAGAAGTCCAAATCGTCTAGTTGCATCCAACCTGTCCATTTTATTCCCTGCTTCGCGTCAGATGTCCAGTTTTTCATAATCCAGTAAACCACTAGAAGAAATAGAAAGGGAAAGAGTAGGCAGCCTTGTCTGACTCCTGTCTTCACTTGAAATACATCTGTTAGCTGTCCCACATATTACACCTTTTCAGTGTAGTCCGCCGTATGAATCCCGTATGATGGTGACGATTTTTTCATGTACACCATTATACCAAATAACGTCTCCTATCCACACTGTTAAATGCTTTGTCACAGTCGAAGAAGTTGAAGTGTGGTGACGAATTCCATTAAATTGATTGTTCAACGGTGGTACGTATTGTCTTAATTCGGTCTGTGAACGACCGATCCTTAAAGAATCCGGTCTTTTGATGTTGAAGTTGGGCGCCTACTGAATTTTTTGTTCGGTTCAACGGCACAGTTGAAGACTTTTTGTGATACCGATAGTAGTGTAATGCCACTATAGATCTCTTACTCGCTCAG